CAACTGAAGGCATATAAATCTATAAAATATGTAAACAAATGAAATGCTGATCAATAAAAACAAATACAAATTAAAAAATAGTTCTTTGGTGTACATATAGTGTTACAACTTAGTAAATATTAATGCAAATTTGCACACTGATAAGATGGGTTTGTGTATTCATTTTTACATAAAACCTTGATCTTTAGCTGAATATTTGATACTTTAGGATACAGACACCAATACTTTTCAGAGTTGATTGATATTGTCAATTTATAACTGTCAAAACTGAGAATGCTGCTTTGCAAAGATATGTAGTATAAAACAGCAGAAGCTTGTCTGGGGCCATTTCAGAAATTATTGGCAATTCTGCCCCAATCCCAAGCCCAAATTATTTGAATAATTTTAAAATAAAATTTAAGTCATCAATTCAAACAGCATTTTTAAAAAATATTCTAACCCCAACCAAGCCAAAGATGTACTACTAATTGAGACATGCTGAGGAATGACTGTAACAAAATATAAACAGTCTTGGTTTCTCACACTTAAATCATCATGGTTCTGTAAGAGCAGAATAGAAATGCACTGCAACCCATGGCCAACAGTGGTTGCAAAATGAGCTCAGGTGTTTCTGGTAGTGTTCGTTGATATTGCACAAAGTGATGGCACACACACCATGTATAGTGCAAAGTGTGTATGTTGTCTGTCAGAACTAAGGCTGTAGTGATATCATACAGGGCAATACCAGTAAGGGCTGTATGTTAGAAACACCTCAACTTACCACAGTTGATTTTGAGTTACTTTTTGATTGTTGCATGTTAAGAAATCTCAGTGTTGCCAGTTTTTTTTTTGTTTATTTGTTTGTTTTTGTTTTTTTGAAACAGGGTTTCTCTGTGTAACAGTCCTAGCTGTCCTGGAACTCACTTTTGTAGACCAGGCCAGCCTCCAACTCAGAGATCTGCCTGCCTCTGCCTCCTGAGTGCTGGAATTAAAGGCGTGCACCACCGCCCGGCAGCCAGTTTTTTAAATGTCCTCCACATGACTCCATAGAGACTATGAACCACAATTTAAGAAGAAAGGGCTGAAATAACAAAAAGTTATTTTTCTTCCATTCTTAAAGTCTAGTGGAGTGGTTCTCAATCTCCCTAGAGCTGTGACCCTTTAATACAGTGCATCATGTTATGGTGACCCTCAACCATAAAACTATTTTCATTGTTACTTCATAACTATAATTTTGCTATTGTTATGAATCATAAATTAATTATCTGTGTTTTCTAATGATCTTAGGTGACCCCTGTGAATGGGTCATTTGATTCCCCAAAGGGGTCTCGACTCACAGGTTGAGAACCACTTGTCTAGATGCTAACAGTCCAAATCAAGGTGCCACCATTGTTATATTCTTATGAGTGTCCTCTTCTTGATTTGCAAAGTCGATGTGTCACCATGAATGTACCACATTTCCTTTGCATACACTCAGAGAACTCCACTATCTCTCCGTTCTTAAAAGGGCTTTGATGACCATGGAGGCCTCATTCTCATGATCTCATCTAAACTTAATTACCTTTCAAAGGTCCCACCCCAGAATAGCATTGCATTGGGGTTTAGAGTTTCATTGCAGGATTTTGTGTGTGTGTATTAGGGGGCAGAGATCATAGTCAGTAACATGGTTTAAAACACTTTTCTATGAATATTTAAACAACCCAGTCGCTGGGCAAATGCTGACTCCAAATACTGTTTTCCTTTTCTTAATAATTTGTCTGAGTTTCTCTTATACATGGGTATTAAAATAATTAGCATTTTAAGAGGCAAGATGTTACTAGTTGCCATTAATTATCTGTGATATATTTCCACAAACATGAATCTCCTTTAATGCTTATTTTTTATATATGTTTATCCACATTTCTCAACTGTTTTGGTGAAGGCAAACAATATTAGATCTCTCTCTCTCTCTCTGATTTCTCATTAAAAAAGAAAAAAAGAAAGAAAGAAAGAAACCAGGCTCTTGGTGCTTCTGGCAAGTTTATTCTAACACAAGTTGCACCCAGACTGTAATTCTGATAAGTATTTCAGTTCTTTCTTGAAAAAAAATTAAATTCACAAAACAATTGATTATCAGTTATAAATGGCAAAAACACCATCTGGTTTTTAAAATTGGTTCAATCCATGTAGCAAGGGGAAAAATGTTGGAAGTTGTTCTTGGCGATGAGTTCTAGTCCATGGAGCAGAAAATGACGTGCTTTACTATGAGAAAGCCAGGGTAGTCATAACTTGTACTTAGCGGCTGTGGGAATTTGATGCGTCCCTCGCATGTTCCATATGTTAAATCGCTTGGCGACATCTTCGGTGTGAAAGAGCCTGGGGGGGGGGGCGGGGGAGCATGGCTAGAAGATAGAGCAACAATCGCTTGCTTCTTCCGGAACCCTCACCTCTGGCTCCTATGCAGAGGTGTATCAGGCCTCAGTTTCCAAATACCTGGTAATACCAGGTGTGCCAAGTTCCTCCATGGCAAGTAGTGTTTCTCTAAAGCTATATGCATTCTTCCAGTGAGGTAAGTCACACAGCATTGGCATTTCCTATAGAAATGTCCCATGTTGTTCTTTGCCAACTGGAAATTTGAGTAGGTGTTCATTTGATGTGCCAAGAGAATGAAGGGAGATGAAAACACTCCACATCTTCCAATGTCCCCATACTGTGTTCCGAGTGTGGGAGGACTGGGGCCTGGCTAGATTCTCTTGGAGCCTCAGCCTCATGAGGAATGCCTTTCCTTAGGAATCTGCTGCAATCCTGTTATTTTCAAAAAACGTTTCTGGGTTGCTGGCATATTTTCACCTTATGTTAAAAATACAGCTCTCCTTTGCTTATTATTCATGCATTATGATATGAAGTTTATTCCTTCACTAACACATATTTATTGAGGCACAGTACAGCATAGTGGTTAGCTGTGAGGGCTCTGTCTGTAATTTGGAAATTGTGATTTTTTTTTTAAGGCTGGTGTTTAATTTTTCTAACCACGTTGAATTAAAAAAAAGCGGAGGGAAACAATAGAATCTACTTTGAAGGTTGTTTCAATGATTTAACAAGATTATGCACAAAAATTCCTTGATAAGGACTCAAGGACACAAGAGTAGCAGCAATCTAAAGAACATTCTCGTGTGCCTAGCTCTGTGCTACTGAGGCTGACATGTAGCATCTGACTTTGCAATACACATTGCACTGTCAGGAATAGATAGCCTCTAATTTTTTTCATTCTGATTTTGGTAGAAATCTGCTTTGCATCAGGTCTGATCAAGGTAGTTCACTTCTGGCGATGACAAGAACATGCAGGATTTTTGCAGACTGGGCATTATTCTGTTGGTCACGTGGTGTTGGTTTTCTGCCTCATGTACTGTGATTTGCCCACTGGAGCCTTCTCCACTTCTGGAGGACTGCCTGCAGTTCGTGCATTGGGGCCTGTAATTACAGAGCAGAAGATCCAGGGATGTGGAGACAGGGCAGTTTCGAAAATTAGTTTATGCATAATGGATAATATGAGGCTGCTTTAATGTGTAACTCATTTGATGGGTTGGCCGATCTTAACTTCCTTTTTGATATTTATTTTTTTAATTTATTTGCAACATGAGGACAGAGGGCTTGGTACAGCTCTTCTACGCTATAGTTCAGATTCAGCAATTTACATTCAGTAATCTCTTGGTCATTTAGCCACAGATAATTTGTCATGGTTTGTTTTAGCTGTTGTGATATTGATATTTATTATGCAAATTGTATTTCCTACATCTTATTGTTCTGCATTCTATGAATACTTAAATTATTATAAACCTTTACACTTAATACGGCTCGTCCTTCAGTTTGATGCTTGAGCAACAGAGGGTCAGTGCGCGCACGGTCTTCTAGAGGGGAAGTAAATAAGTAATTAAAAGGCAGACAAACAAGAGAGCTGGCTGCTTGGTTGAAAAGAAAGCAAAGATAATTTCGGGGAGGGAGAGTGTGTCCAGAGAGGCATACAAGTCGCTTCAGCAGGAGAACCTCTGAACACAACTGAAGCCGAGAGCACCTGTTGGTCTCTAGATGCCTTAGAAAAAGGATTGGAGGCATAGCAGAGAAGGGAATTGGTTTGAGCCCTGGAGGAGGAACTCGGCTGACTCTCCCTATCTTTGACGCACTTGGTTCCCCACATTCCCTTCCCCACAAACCTGACGGGTAGATTTTGTGTTTTTGTGTGCGTGTAATCTTAAATGCATATTTCTTACATGCTAACATCTATTAAACATGGGAAGGGCATTTTCAACAAGCTGGGGAGCCCGAGCATAGCGCCCCCCACCCGCCCGATTTACCTTTCCCCAGAATGGCTGTAGAGCCAAACATAGTCTTGAAAATCCCAGAACCCGACTCCACGGCTTCAGTCTCTCTACTATCCCCTAGTCTACCGCTAGGATGTTGAGCGGGCTCTCCTGCTTCGCCGGACGTGCAAAGCACGCATGCACTTCTCCCAGATTGTTTTGTCAATCCGGGGACCTGTGTTCACTCTCTCCACTCCCCGGTTTCCCAAAGATCTCATTCCTCCGTGCAAGGTGAAGGAAGGAAATTTGCAAAGTGTGACTTCCACAGGCCGATGCACACGCAGTGCCCGGGCCCAGGAGCCTCGCGGCGAGACTCTCGAGGCGTGAGTCCGCCGCGGCGAATGCCGTAAATGTTCCTAATAAAGGTGCACAGAAGCTGGAGACCCGCCTCCTGGAGCCGCAGCCCCCTTCCCCCGCCTCCACGCCAGGCACGGGGCAGTACACTTTTTCCTCCACGGGGGAAGCTAAGCCGAATTTTAACGTAAACAGATTTGCATAGGCCCCTCCCATCGGCCCCGCCCCTAGGTGGCGCGGGCGCGCGGCCGAACGCTAGCGCCAGGGGGCGGGGTGGGGGAGGGGGCTAGTCCTTCGAGAGCCGGGTTGGGCTCGCGGCGCCACGATTGGTCGGTCCTGACTCCGCCTTTAGCGCATCTCATTAGCATCTCATTAACTGTCCGCTCGGGCTCGGGAGGCAGCCACCGCCGCCAGTCTGAGGCAGGTGCCCGACATGGCGAGTGCTGTGCTGCCGAGCGGATCCCAGTGTGCGGCGGCAGCGGCTGTGGCGGCGGCGGCAGCGCCTCCCGGGCTCCGGCTCCGGCTCCTGCTGTTGCTCCTCTCGGCCGCGGCACTGATCCCCACAGGTAGGTTGTGGGCACCGGCGGATTGGTCCCGAAATACCCCCCCCCCGGGCACCCCCAGGAGCCGTAGCTATGGAAGGGGGGACGTTTCCATGACAACCTCCCCCCACTTCCTAAATCCGAAGCGGCGGGAGCGTGGCAAGGAAAGTCGGGGCTGCGATGGAAAGGGCTGAGGGGTCGGCGCCCCTTCTCTCCTGCCCGCCGGCTGCGGATGGGCGCCCTCAGGGATGGCTGCACCCACACCTCTTCTTCCTGGCGTAGCGCGGGGTGCCGAGTGGAGTGGGCTTGGGGGGCCAGGGGCTAGCGCGTGGGGGAAGGGAAGCCCTCGGAGGCGCCCCGAACCTTCCGGACCCTCCGAAAACTCGCTCTTGTCCCTGGAACTTGCAGGTCCTCCCCATGTCCCCAGGCTTAGCCTTCGTCCCCTCCGTTCCAGCTCGGCCCCCCGGTCGATTCTCCATTTCCCCGAAGCTTTCTCCCCGCGGGTCCCCAGGACATCCCCACAGCCGTGTCCTCTCCCCCGCTTGCCCGCGCTCTGCAGGTCCCCCGCCCCAGAGCTGCACGCCTCTCGTGTTTCCCTCCAGCCGAACGCAGCCCCTCGGCCCCCTCCGCTGGGCTGCGGGTCGGCTTGGCTGGAATCCAGGCAGGGAAAGTTCCCGGCTCGGGGGCGGCCGCTCGTCGCCGCGGCTGCAGAAGGGGCTCCTGGTGCCTTCAGCCGGTCCGCGCCACGAAGGCCTCTGCCGCGAGTGGGGATCCGGGATTTCCCGGCTGCGCGTCCTTCGGGCAAGCGGCCCGCAGGTGGTGGCGGGGGCGTTCGCGGCCTCTGCGGCCCGGCGCGCGCCCTGCGGGCCTCGGGGCGCTCCCCGCGTGGCCGGCCGTCTTGAGAATCTGCCCGGGTGGCGGCTCTGCGAGCGCCGCGCCTTCCCTGAAGACGCCGAGCGCTTGGCAGGAGCCCCGCGTGTGGCTGCCCCTGTGCCGGGCGCGTTGGCGCGGTCGGGAAAGAAGAGGGCAGTGTTTGCATTTGCTAACAAAAGGGAGCCGGAGCTCTTCCCCACCGGAGAGGCCGGCCGCGCTGCGCCCGCCTTCCCGCCACCTCGCCGCTCTCGCCCGCCGCGCGGCGTCCCCATGCGGCTGTGCCGCCTGCCGCTGGCTCCAGGCGGCCGGCGGGACCGAGAGGCACCGGGCGGTGGCGAGCGGGCGGGTGGCCGTGCGCGAGGGGATGCGCTAGGGCTCTGAGCCTGCAAAAACCCTTCCTTGCAGCTCCGAGCTGCAGGACCTGGGAGCAACAAGTGGTGGAGGACGCCGCGAGCTCAGCCCCCACCTGCGGAGCCCCCAGCCCGGGAGGATGCTGCGCTGGGACCAGCGTGCGGTTCCGGGGGCGCCTCTCTGCTTGGGTTGTGTCTTTTGTTTACACGCTAGAGGACACATAGTTATGTAAACACCGCAGGAAACACGTTGGAGATAGGGATGCTTGGGAGTGCTAGCTTCGGATTTAGGGGATGCCAGGTTGGTTGACTTACCCCCCTCAAAAAAAAATATATATGTAAAAAACAGGCTTTCGGAGGAGCTCATCTTGAAGAACCCATTGAGGCTCTAAGGGTGGGATCCTGGCAGCACCTTCCATTCCAGCTTGAGAATTTTGTCTTCCATGCTACAGTCTGTCTCCGGATGTTTATATATTTTTCTTCTGTGAATTCTTAATTTATGAGTTATGAGATAATTAGGTTTAGCCGAAGCCCGTGTGGTTACAACTTAATTTCTGGTGATGCCACTGACTGGAAGGGTTCGATAGAGTGTTCCCGAAAGAGATCCCTCATGCTGCATTGTAAAAAGCGCCACTGTCAGTTAAACGTGAGCGTGAGTAAAGGCTGGGTAACTGGCGCATTACAGAGGCAACAATAGACTTGTATTGGCTGCAGAATGAAGGGTGGGGGTGGGAAGCGCTGGCCCGGGATACTGCCTTTCGACTAAAAATGGGAACCATGTAATGCCACTAAACCAGCAGAGTAGGATTAGATTTTGCCTCCCTTGTCAAGCCTGCTCATTGAAGGCACCGGGTAGTAACAACAGTACTATATTTGTACTATCTCTCGGTGAGAAGTTGCCTTCCCCGTGAGAGATGTGTGCTGACTTAGAAAGGAACGGTCTGGAACTCAACCGTGCATGTCAAAGCTACAGGAAAATTCTGTTGCCAGTTACCATGGAAGCAGCTTCTTGCTCTTGTGTACATCCCTGTTTGTACGCCGCTTATCAGATTGTGTTCAAATTAGAAAGTAATTGGGTTTGATTTGTAGTGAGGGGATGAGATGACTTTCTTTAATTTTTTGAATGTGTGTGTGTGTATGTGTGTATGTGTGTGTGTGTGTGTGTGTGTGTGTGTGTGTGTGTGTACACTTTGAGAGATGGTCTTGGCCAAGCCCTAGATTCCATATTGCAGGGGTCAATTTCAGGTGGGCACCGAAAGACTTCTTTTCCTCGGATGTTAAGTTAAAGCTTTCTCAGGGGCCTTTGCTTCTCATCCCCTGGTTTAAAGAAACCTGTTGGTGCTGCTACCTTCTGACTTCATTAGGCTTGTTTGATTCTCATCCTTGCTGAGAAAGCCAAGTCCCGCTATTGTGTATTGAAGTTCTGGTTCGGTTGCCTCTGTAACTGAAGCCATCCTGCCTGCCCCCCACCCTCACTCCCATCCCTGAGAAAATCTACTCCCATCTCTCCTGTAATGTTGGGATGAAACAGACCTGTATGAAATGCAGCCCAAACAGGATTGCCTGTACTGTGTTAATCACTCCTGTTATGTTTAAGGCAGGCATGCTGCTGTTTGGGACCCTGAAGGAACCTGCAAGTAGATCACCCCGTTCTGTTCTTACCCTTTTGAGGATTAGAGAAGATGGTTGATGAGTAGGGATTTGTGGGGGTGGCAGTTAGTCCCGGCTTGCTCTAGCCGATTGGGACTTGGTTGGAGCTTGGTTGGAGCTTGCATACCAGGGACAGGGACTTTGCAGAAGTGACGCCCTGCTATTGTTGCCTTTCCCTGCATCAAATTGAATAGTCACAGGGGGGCCTTGCACTTGCCTGTGATAGCTTCGATAAAATATCCCTCATTAATGCCACTTTATATTTACAGTGTGTCACTGGAGACGCACAAGGCTTCATTTAGTGACTTGTGTGACGAGACAAGCTTGCATTATTTGCCCGGGACATTTTGGAGGAACAAGAGACCCATTGAGCAATCTTTTGAAATGAACAAATACGAAAAAGGGGGGAATAAAAGAGCAGGCAGTTCTCCGGAACAAAGAGCTTTATTCATATGGATGTTGTACATGCTTTATCCAGTTTTCCCCAGTGGCTCTCCCGGTGAAGGGGAGTGGGACAGGGAAGGTGATAACAGGCAGGGAGGCACTCCGGCTTCCTCTTTTACTTCCTGACTTCCTATTCTTCCCGGAATAGTTGCTTCCCTACTCACTGCCTGCTTCTCATCTGCACTCCCTCCCAAGCCCCAGAACACAACAGGCTCTCAGGTTTCAAAGGAGATTTTGAAATCTTTTGTGCCATTGTTGGCTCTCATCGGAAGAAACTGCTAGGTCTAGCTACCTGTTGACTGATCAACATTGGACAGTGTACTGGGTGAAGGGAAAGAAATGTCACTTTTCTATGACATGTGTCATGATAGTGAATGTCAGAATGGTAGGTAAGGTGTCTTGCAATTATCATGTTAGCCTCTCTGTGTTTATTTTTAATGGTGTTGTTAAAATGAAAATCCCAATTTTTAAAAATCATTATTAATGGTGCTTTTGGATTTTATTTTAAACTTTATCCCATACCTGGTACATTTCAGCTTTATAGATGATTTTTTTCCTTTTAATTCTTTAACCTCTATTGTTAAGCAATTTTTTTCTTTAAAATTTATAGTACTATGAAGATCAATGCTATGAGACTCATTCTTATTGGGTCTGTGTATGTGGTATTTTAAAGCTAATTGGCCACATAGAGTTTATATTTAATTTTTTAGTGTTTTGATTGATTGATTGATTGCACGCGCGTGTGTGTGTGTGTTTGTGTGTGTGTGTATTTAACAAAAGGACCATTTTTATGTGGGTATTTCTTAGAAGGGGCCAAACTAATTGATACTGTGGATTGAATGGAAATTGGCCACATAGGAAGAAAATTTAAAAGGAAGAAATCCAAAGAATTAAAAATGCTGTATATCTTTCTTTGGAAGAAAGCTACTGACCATTATGCTGGGCATTTTTAACAGAAAATCCAGCACAGAAAGGAGAAATCACACAGCGACATCTGTTGCAGAACTGAAAATTTGCTGCTTTGAGATGGAAGCAATTAGCCCCGTGTAACCACCTAATAGTATCAGAGTATGTGTGCTGACACAAATATGAACATGTGCACATTTACATTTGCACACACACGTTATACAGAGGCTCACATATTCAAATTAAAGTACAAGAAAATGTAACCTTGGAGTGCCGAAGTGCCTTAAAAACTATTAGAGATTCTCATGATTATAGAACCGTTGAAAAGGAAAGATAATTGCCATTTTCTTAGGAAATACCATTGTTTTCAGGTAAGGCCGCTGAAGCTCAGCTGAACTGAGGCTGAATTAGCTGTAGATCTTGGATGGGGATGGGTCCCTTGACGTCCAGCCAGTGGACCTTCTGTTCTTCCTCCTGGCAGGGATGCCCAGACAGAGATACGGATCATGGGAGGATACTACCTTGGCTGAAACCATTTTGTATTCTGAAGGCAGCGAGATTAATTGTTTGCTCTAGGTAATAAGCCCATGGATCAGAAGGAGTGACCTCTGGAAAGAAAGGACCAGCTCTTGGTACCTTTGCCTTTAGTGTTGACAAATGATTCTGCAACCTCTGGACTTGATTTGGCAGCCACTGCGCGGATGTCGTCCAAAGTGCCTTCATATGGGAGACTGCTGGGCTGTGTTGTTGTAATAAGTCAGAGGCGAAAGCTGAGCTTCAGGACGCTCGCTCATGTTTTGG